AAATGACAGTTGCTACTTAATATATATAGCAAATGCTCTTTCAATTTGGCCAATCAGAACATTAACAAAACAAAATATTGGCCAATCAGATCGTTCAATAAACCTATGCTTGGCTAATCTGAACATACAAAGGTCTTTCTCTTCACTCTATTTCACTCAGGTACAACTGTTTACCAAGTGGCCGAAACACACACACACACACACATACACATACACACACACACACACACACACACACACACACACACACACACACACACACACACACACACACACCACCTGAAATGATCGTCCAATATTTAGCGTTCTTTTATCTGTGATCCTTAGTGTAGCGATCCTTGTGTCCGTGTATTTGTCTGTCTGTCTTGGTTAGCCAATAGGGGAGAGGATGGTCAACATGGTGGGCAGGGAGGGAGGGAAGGAGGGAGGGAAGGGAGGGAAGGGAGAAGGAGGAAGGGAGGGGTCAACATAGTAAGGAATAGACTCGGCCGACTGACACTGTGTCCAGGAGTGGGTGAGGAGGGAGTGAATGAGGGAGGGAGGGTAGGGGTGGAGGGTGGGTAGAGTGAGGGAAGAGGAAGGATGAGAGGGTGAATGAGGAGGGAGGGTAGGGGTGGAGGTGGGTGGAGGATGAATGAGGGAGGTAAGGTGAGGGAGGAGGGAAGAAGCTACCTCAACACACGTCTGGTGAAAGTTGATAAAAAAAAAAACTCACACAGAAACAGCAGCAGGAGTCAACCCACTTTCTCTCCCGCTTTTCATTGACAACCATCTTCCTGGTCATCTACCTTCCTCAGTCTCCATCATTATCATACATCATCATTATTATCATTGTATCTAAACCATACCGGGATAATGGACCTCATAATCCCTCGACGCTGATTGGCTATACTGGTAAGTCTCGTCGTCGAATAGGAAAGTTTACTGCAATTTTTTTTTTCTCAATGATGTTTAATATGATAATTTTTTTTTTATATTTTATCTTGAGTGAAAACATAAGATTTCTCCTCCGTGTGTGTGTGTGTGTGTGTGTGTGTGTGTGTGTGTGTGTGTGTGAGATACATTCATCACCATTGTCTTCTTATCTAACATCAACATCATAATATTTGTAGAGATGAAGAAGAAGAGAAGAATGATTAGTCTGTCTGTTGTTGTTGATTTTAGTTATGTTTATTAAGGTCTCTCTCTCTCTCTCTCTCTCTTTCATTTATTTTTCATTGCCGGGGTTCTATTTTGGGTACACATAAGATTAATCTATTTTAGGTGTATTATAGACACACACACACACACACACACACACACTATATAACAGATTATTGACCTCCCAGGCAACATTACCGACGTGATCCCTGGTGTGTGTGACCCGTGTCTGACCCCTGACCCCCGTGTGTGACTCCTGACCCCCGTGTGTGACCCCTGACCCCGACCCCGTGTGTGACCCCTGTCTTTACCTGTATGACCCCTACCAGTGTGTGACCCCTTCTTTACCTCTATTATCAGTTTCATTCACTATTCCTCGTTGTTACTTATCCTCCCTCTGATATCATAGGTGTATGTATGTGTGTATGTTTGGGTGTGTATGGATATATGTATGTGTGTATGAGTGTATGTCTGTATATCTGGGTGTACATGTATGTGTGTCGCTTTCCCCTATCTCTCTATTTCTTACTTCTCTTTCTCCCTTCCTCCCAGCCCACCCATTAATCCATGCTCCCACCCTTCCTCTCACCCATTCATCCATCCCTCCTAACTTCCCTCTCAGCCTCTCAGCCTCACAGCCTCACAGCCTCTCAGCCTCTCAGCCTCACAGCCTCTCAGCCTCTCAGCCCTCCGTCACCACATCATTGCTCACCCTCACCGTTAAAGCTTTCAGGTGTTGCAGAAAAGCGATAATGCAATTTGTTATAATACAGGGAGCCGGAAGTGGGGGGGTCTTACCTTATAACAAAGACGATGGAGAGGGGTCAGGGAGAGGGAGAGGGAGAGGGGGACTATTGGCCAGATCCTTCTACTGCTCCCGGCACTAGACACGGCACAAAGGACGCTGTTAGTCGGAAGTCCTTGGGCTAAATCCACTCCTTTATTCATGGGAAATAGCATCCATCTTCACCCGGATATTTGATTGGGTCTTCAGGGGTAATAGTGAGCTTTGATTGGCTGTAATGTCCTTTGATGTCATTGTCTTACGTCTTTGTGAGGGGGTTTACGGAAGGTGATTGGTTGGTTGTCTAGGGTGAGTAGTGAGCCTTGATTAGTTGGATTGTCAATGACGTTGTTGCTGACGTCACTGTCCTTAGGTGTGACGGAGGCTTGTGATTAGGGTATTTCCTGCTGATGCCCTCTGAGGGATGTCCTGGGTATCATCCCTACCCCACACCTCCCCTATCTCTCTCTCAGGAAGTCCTAGACACACACACACACACACACACACTGACAGGTGAACTCCAGAGGTCAACACCCAGGTCGGGCATTTCCTCACTAGCGGGACACTAACCAAGGTTGCCCTCACCACACCCACAGGTCACACACGCCTCCAGAGGTCACCTGACACCCCACATAGGTCAAAGGTCACAGATAGCAGGTCTTAGAGGTCACAGAGGTTGTATTACGGAATTATTGGCCCAGATACAGTTATAAGTCTGTTGTATAATGTTGTTATGGTAGGCCCTCGTGTTGGTGGCACTATGGGGCCACCTGGCGTTACGGATCAACTGGATATTAGTCACCTATCCTAACCTAACTTAAGGTGTTTAATCATCAGGTGAAATAAGCTGTGGAAACACATCTTTACGTAACCAGCTTATGCCAACACACTAACCACACCCTAAATTAACGAGCTGTATGACCCAGTGTCCAGGCATAACCCAAGAACACCGGATGACTTACTTGCTTCACTGGCTAACCATAACCCCGGAACTCTATCCACCAATCTATTAACATTCAGGTCCCTAGTTACTGCTGGGGAGACAGAGGCTGGCGTAAAGAAACTTGCCCACACTTTCACTCTGCCCGGGGATCGAACCAGGGACCGTTTGTTAGTAAGGCGAGTATGCTGACCGGTGTTGTATGAGTGATTATGATATGATGTGTGAGTATCAGTTACCAAGCGGTGCGTTAACTGAGTAAGACCTGATAAGACTGATAAGAGACTTCTTTTAAACCTACAAGGGTTAAGAAAGAGAGCTAACACCCTGGACACTGTATTAACTTTCAGAATTTCTCTTAACTGAGCTGCGTGACTGAGTGTGTGTGTTGATCTGATTCTAGTGGGTTACTCCACCACCCTGGCCCTCCACCTATGGGCTCTTCCACCATATATGATATCGTCATCCACTTCTAAGTATGAGATAGGTGGAGAGATAACAGGAACACGTAACCCACAATGCACCTGTGACGTTACTCCCGCCAACACAAGCTCTCGTGTGTAAATCGTGAGCAATACATCTTTAACACCTCAACTCTCTGTTATTTCCTGTAAATATCTGTCTGCCTGTCTGTCTGTGTGTGTGTATGTCTGTCTGGTGCAATGTTGACTAAATGTTTCTTCTCCTCACTTCCCCGTACGCGTCTGTGCTGCGTCATTGGCCTGCCTCAATTTTTGTTTCGTCATCCCAAGACTTTTAAAAAAACACACAACACAAAACACGAAACTTAGAGAATATATCATTATCTCTTTATATTTATATTCAATGACATTATTAATCTTATTTTTTTCTTATTTTCTTCATGGATGTTAAAGTTTCTCAAAAGGCGTAACATTGATAATAATAGCGATAACCTCAGTGTCACAGGGTTACTGCCTCGCCCTCTTAGCCAATGGTATAGCTGGAAAAAGAGTGACGTCATCATAGGCGGGCCTGTGGGGTAACCCTGAACCAATGAGAAGTGAGTTGACGTGGTGTGACAGATAGGCAGGAGCAGGCGAGGTGAGTGGACAGACAGACAGGGAGACAGCCAGACAGATAGAGAGGCAGCCAGGCAGATAGAGAGGTAGACTTACAAACTAACAATCATTATACATATGAACAACATAGCTTCAAACAAAGGCTGGACGGATATATGAGCAATAGGGGTTGGGTGTAAATGGGACTGTCCAGTATGGGTCAATATGCCCGCTGCAGTTTCCTCCATTCTTTTGTTCATTATACATATATTAGTTTCCTGTGATTTATGAACTGGTGTGTGAGTCAGGTGTGTGAGTACAGGTGTGTGTCAGGTGTGGAAGTACAGGTGTGTGACCTAGTTTCGCCACACTGCTGACACACGGTGGTGAGGGACACAGCGTCAGCAACTATGTTATTTTTTCTGTGGTTGAGAGTAAACAATGCTGTCTTGTGGCGCCTCTGAGGTGTTAAAAAATACCTTCATATTTTTATTATTGTTAATTAAGGTCAAGTGTGGGTATTATTACTTACACACACACACTGATGTATAATGTCACCACCACCACCACCACTACACACCACCACCACCACCGCCGCTACCACCACCACCACCACCACCACCACCACCACCACCACTACCACCTACCACCCTCCCACCACACCACCACCACCACTACACACCACACCACCACACACACACACTATCACCTACCACCACCACCACCACCACCACCACCACCACACCACCACCACCACCACACCACCACCACCACCACTCCCCACCACACCACCACACACACACCACACCACCACCACCTGCCACTACCCACCACCACCACCACCACACTACCCACCACCAACCACCACCACCACCACCACCCACCACCACCACCCACCACCACCACCACTACCACACACCACCCACCACCACCCACCACCACCACACCACCACCACCACTACTACCCACCACCACCCACTACTACCACCCACCACACCCACCACCACCACTACACACACACCACCACCACCACTACTACCACCACCACCACCACTACCACCACCACCACCACCACCACCACCACCACCACCAGTAATCAGTACATTGGTGTCCACAGGTCGCCCTACAGCAGGAGATGGACACCGCCTCCATTGATCTCTTCTGGTCTCAGGTACGTCCCTCTAATGTCCTAATTACTCTTCCTGTACCTGTATGTATCACTCTAATCACACCTGTATCTGTATTTTCACCTGTATGTATTATTGCCTACCATATACAGGTGTGTGTGTGTATACCTGGACGATAGATACACCTGTACTTGTCCCTTAATAAATACAGGAGTTTTTACCTGTATTTCCCACGTGTTTAAAGGGGTACAGGCAGCTCTCTCTCTCTCTCTCTCTCTCTCTCTCTCTCAGTAGCTGGTCGTTGTCACATCTGGCTTTGATAATGCACTTCAAAATGCGGTGATGATGATGATGATAGTGATGATGATGGTGATGAGTGACAGTCACCACCAAGGTGTCATACATTTACTCAGACAGTTACTCCACCTTTCTTGATAACTGTAAACTGTATACAGCCACTGGCACTCCTGTTGTGGTGGTGGTGGTGGTTGTTGTTGTTGTTGTTGTGGTGGTGGTGGTGGTGGTGGTTGTTGTTGTGGTGGTGGTTGTTATGGTGGTGGTGATGGTTGTTGTTGTGATGGTGGAGGTTGTTATTGTTGTTGTTTTAGTGTTGTTTTTGTTATATTTGTTCGGTTAAGTTAGGTAGGAATAATTTGTCATATGTTTACTGACTATAAACATAAAAGGACAGTAATTTAATGATGTTTATCACTAATTAAGATGTCATAGAGTTTGAATGTTTACTAAATGTGAGGGACGATTAGTACAGGTTAGGTTAGGTTAGGTTAGTTTATTACAGGTAGTTTAGGTTAATACAGGTAGTGAATGATGTTGTGTCACGGAAGAGGCTGCGTCACGGTGACTCAACGAGGAAATTAGTAAGGTGTGGTAAATTAATAATACGTGTTACCTTGGCACAGGTGACAACAACCCTTCCTCTCCCCCTCTTCTCCTCCCTCCCCGACCTTAACTGTTGTCAAGGTCAGCTCTATGTTAATGTAATTGAGGGGGGCTGCACACACACACACACACAGACACACACACACACACACACACACACACACACACACACACATACACACACACACGCACACACACACACACAGTTTCAGGATAAAAAAAATTAATGCAGGAACCACAGATAATTCGTTTCACATCATAACTTAGACGAAAGAATTACCGAACGACATTTCTAAAGGTAAGCTAATTAGACACATTCTCTTGCCTTCACTTAATATTTAACACGTCACGGATCAATAACTTAGTAACTACCTTTGTGTAACATCTTAAGTGAAAAAGTTAAGTTCATTCTTATGTGTTTACAAGATGAAAGTTTCAATACGTTCTAATTTTTTTTTTAGAATAAATGAGTTACTTAAACCATTCAGTACGAAGATGTTGTAGTCAAAGGGTTAAGTCATCGTATTCAAGGGTTAAGTCATCGTATTCAAGGGTTAAGTCATCGTATTCAAGGGTTAAGTCATCGTATTTAAGAGTTAAGTCATCGTATTTAAGAGTTAAGTCATCGTATTTAAGGGTTAAGTCATCGTATTTAAGAGTTAAGTCATCGTATTTAAGAGTTAAGTCATCGTATTTAAGAGTTAAGTCATCGTATTTAAGAGTTAAGTCATCGTATTTAAGAGTTAAGTCATCGTATTTAAGGGTTAAGTCATCGTATTTAAGAGTTAAGTCATCGTATTTAAGAGTTAAGTCATCGTATTCAAGGGTTAAGTCATCGTATTTAAGAGTTAAGTCATCGTATTTAAGAGTTAAGTCATCGTATTTAAGGGTTAAGTCATCGTATTTAAGAGTTAAGTCATCGTATTTAAGAGTTAAGTCATCGTATTCAAGGGTTAAGTCATCGTATTTAAGAGTTAAGTCATCGTATTTAAGAGTTAAGTCATCGTATTTAAGAGTTAAGTCATCGTATTTAAGAGTTAAGTCATCGTATTTAAGAGTTAAGTCATCGTATTTAAGAGTTAAGTCATCGTATTTAAGGGTTAAGTCATCGTATTTAAGAGTTAAGTCATCGTATTTAAGAGTTAAGTCATCGTATTCAAGGGTTAAGTCATCGTATTTAAGAGTTAAGTCATCGTGTTAAAGTTTAAATCATCGTATTCAAGGTTAAGTCATCGTATTCAAGTTGTCTCTTCTTCTTCAGCGGGAGGTGAAGTGAGAGAAGCATCAACAGGTTAGTAGTGAGAGAGACACGAGATGGCATCAGGCGGGTCCGGGTGACACAGTGTGGACCCGTTATAGTATGTCAGGTTGGCCGGTCTCTCTCTCCCTCTCTCTACCTCAATGATCTTTGGTTAATTCTCTCTCTCTCCCTCTCTCTCTCTCATATTCAGTCTCAATATTTTCTTCTTAACCTTTTCTAAGAGACAATGTTGTAATGGCAGATGTTGCTTGTGTAGGTGGTCAGTGAACCAAACAACTGTCTCTGTTCAGTACACCACCTACACACACACACACACACACACACATACACGCAGCCTAATTCTTGAGTATTATTATTACATTTAAATCAACTAGTTTAGAATATTCTTACGAGTAATATTTAACTTAGGAGTAATATTTAACTTCCAAACACTTTATGAATCTTGCTCCCACTAACATCAAGAACAGGAGGAATAACTGTTGTAAATATGTCTGGGTAAGTTTATGAAGCTCGTTACTTGAGTCTTGCCTTTTGGGGTAAGGAAAGGTCAGTGTTTGTGTGTGTGTGTGAGTCCGTGTGTCTGTGAGTCCGTGTGTCTGTGAGTCCGTGTGTCTGTGAGTCCGTGTGTCTGTGAGTCCGTGTGTCTGTGAGTCCGTGTGTCTGTGAGTCCGTGTGTCTGTGAGTCCGTGTGTCTGTGAGTCCGTGTGCCTGTGAGTCCGTGCGTCTGTGAGTCCGTGTGTCTGTGAGTGAGTAAGATTATATTTCCAAGAAGGTTCAACTTTTTTGTCAAGACTCATCATTGTTCATTTCTTCATCGTATCCACCCACACCTCCCCACATACACCCACACTCATCCACACTCACCCACTCTCTCATCCACTCACCCACTCTCTCTCCCGCTCACCCACTCTCTCACCCACTCACAAATTCCCTTCCACCACCAACCTCCCCCCTCCTCCTCTCCCTCTCCCTCCTCGCCCTCCTCTTCCCCCTCTCCTCCTCCTCCTCCTCACCTCCCCCTCCTCCTCTCCCTCTCCCTCCTCTTCCCCCTCTCCTCCTCCTCCTCCTCCCAGCCTCACCACTGTCAACAACACAGGGGTGAGAACGTCAACAACTACCACCGCCACAGTCTGAGTTACAGTTAGTTACAGTGTGTTGCAGATCGAGCCTCACGCCTCTACCTGCCTCACTTAATTAAGGGAGTCTTGTCAGGTGTTCTTGTCAGGTGTTGAAGATGTGGCACTGTGATGTGTTTGTGTGTGTGTGCGTGTGTGTGAACCTCAGAATTCAGTGTCATGTCAACTTTGCACACTTGAAACTAATGATAAACAGATATTCAGGTGTGTTGGACAGGTGTATATATTATCTCCCGATACACCTGAAGATTTGTATGTGTTTAAGGGAGAGTTCAGGTGTGTAGAAAAACTGACATGACATTGAATATTTTAGGGGGTCCACACATACACACACACACACACACACACACACACACACAACCTAACCCAGTCTTAGGAAACAGATTAATTTATGGCGTGTCAGGAGGTGGGTTTAAGGTGTGTGCTGGTTTAAGTAAGCTGGAGTAAAGGGTTAAGTTTAAACCCCACCAGCTGCGGGAGACACGAGGGGGTGTGGCATTCTCTTGCCCCAAGGTGTAATGTCAACATCTACTGGACTGACAAAAGTACTGTTATCTCCCATAAATCCTGATATACTTATAACCTTACGGTGTATAATGTTGGTAAATAGTCGTCCTGGTTGTCCTAGCTTGTATAAATTTCACAATTAAATGATAAGGAAAAAATGTTGCAGAAATAATGACTTGTTGGCAACAGTCGCCTACCTGGGCAACCCTCCACCACTGAGGTTACAAAGGTAGACACAACACTGCCAACAACCCGCCCCAGACACCAACAAACTGGAGCTATTTTTTATCACCACTACTTCCTCTCACCATCTATGACAATTTCAACAACTCATAACAAACATCAAGAGTGTTATAATACCGATATGTTGTGTATTTTGGTGTTAGATATGAGTTAAGTATTGAATATTAACGAAAGGCTGTGGTTACCTGTACATGATACTCGCCGTTGGCAACACTACCTGGGTGGCCAGAAAGAGGGAGGAGGGAGCTGGTGGTCGACTCAGGACTCAGTAGCTCCACGCACACGGAGGTAGACGGACGTCCCTCTAAAACCTCTCTCTCACTCTCCCCACATCCCCCCCAACAAGCCTTTAGTGTAATTGTTTTTTTATACGGTAACCTCTCTTTATTTCTCTTTTTTTTCCCTCACGCTAAGAGATGAAGATGAGAGATAACATTAACGGGAGGAAACAGACGCATTAGTGTAAACAACTTGTGGTGAATAATAAGATTTTTATTTTGAAAAGTTCAGCTGACGTCATCCAGATCGAAATGTGATATTTTATACAGCAGTGATAAGAGTGAGTATTACCCCCCCCCCCTTCCTCTTTTATCATGTATCACTATGTATCACTATGTATCACTATGTATTATTATGTATTTTACTCATATTTTTATTATTTGTGTATTTTTTGTGATTTTTTAGTCCTCCCTCGTGAGTCTTAAGTTCCTTATGTATACAGTGTGTGTGTGTGTGTGTGTGTGTGTGTGTGTGTGTGTGTGTGTGTGTGTGTGTCTGTGTGTAGACCACAGGCACTCACTGAAAGATTTTTTTTATTATCACCAACACACTCACTCTTACCAACACCAAGATACTGACAGACACACTCACCAGCACACACTCACCCCCACCACCACCAACACACTCGTCATCACCAACACACTCACCAACGCACTCACCGGGTACTTCTATATAAAGTTAGTAAAAGCAGCAGTAAGTACTAGTATACACAGGCTCC